TAGTCTCGTTATGAAACTATTGGTATCAAAGGATTGCGTGGGTTCTCAATTAATTTGAGATAAAAAAAAAATAGCAAATAATAAAAGGAAAAGATAAAAAAATGATAAGGAATATCCTTGGTACATTATAAAGGCACACATAATATCCTTTGTAGTACATATATTATAGGCCAAATTAGAAAATAACACCTGCAAAAAGACCCGATTTTGTTTATAACACCTTAACATTTCGAAATTTTATTATAACACCTACAAAAATCCCAAAATTTTGGTTTCACCACCCACTAACGGATTTTTGGATGGAAACCGTTAGTGGGACCCACTAGGGACACGTGTCAGTTGTTTATTGGCTTAAAAATAAAAATTAATAAAAATTAAAAAAAAAAAAAACCCCTAAACTCTAACCCAGCCACCAGCCCCACCACCGCCGACCGTCACTACACCGCCGGAGACCCCCCACTGTCGTTGGATTCCATTCCTTCTCCGGCGAAACCACCGGCCGTCACCCCCACCAATTACGCACCAATTACGCCAGAATTTCGTCCAGAAATCTCCCTGAATTTCGCCCAGAAACCTCCCTAAAATTCGCGTAACTGCGATCCCAACATCACGCCGGAGAAAGACGATGAAATTACACCAAATGAATCTCGAAATTGCACCAAAAATACGATGAAACTGCACCCAAAAACTGCACCCAAGCACCAATTGACGGAGAACCACCAGCGAAATTTTGATTGGTGCTTGTAGCGGTTGTTGACGGTGGTTTGGTTGTGGGTCTGAAAGAGGCGAAGGGGCTAGGTGGTTTTCGTGGAGGGTTGTGGTGGGTTGGGGTGATTTTTCGGGGAGAAGGAAAGGGGAAGGGGATTTACGGGGGGGCTGATGTTGGTGGGGGTGACGGCCGGTGGTTTCGCCGGAGAAGGAATGGAATCCAACGACAGTGGGGGGTCTCCGGCGGTGTAGTGACGGTCGGCGGTGGTGGGGCTGGTGGCTGGGTTAGAGTTTAGGGGTTTTTTTTTAATTTTTTTTAATTTTAATTTTTAAGCGAATAAACAACTGACACGTGTCCCTAGTGGGTCCCACTAACGGTTTCCATCCAAAAATCCGTTAGTGGGTGGTGAAACCAAAATTTTGGGATTTTTGTAGGTGTTATAATAAAATTTCGAAATGTTAAGGTGTTATAAACAAAATCGGGTCTTTTTGCAGGTGTTATTTTCTAATTTGGCCTATATTATAAGTGCATAACTTCAATTATATGAGCAATTGATCTATTCTAAGCCGCAGTATTATTTTGTAAGGGAATCTCTAGCTAGAAAGCAAAGGGCATTTACAATAGACTTTTAATTACTTTAATTTGATAGCTAGATCCTTTTTATACTTTCACGTGAATTTTACATGTAGTTAGTTAATGAAAAAAAATATATAAGTGGCGTAGATCAGGTAATAAAGTTGTTCACTTGTTGAAAACTGAATCAGAAATTAAAATAAAAATTCGATAATTTAACTCATAGACTAGACTAGACTAGTTATACTTAATTCAAAGCAAATCAATTTAAACTAGATAATTCTTCAAATCGTAATATTGAAAATCTTGCCAAGAAAATTAATATTTACGTCATGAACAAGGGAGCTAGGGAATACTAAGAAATGTTGTCCGTCCACCCAACAAGAAACAAGCACCCACCATTTTCAAAGGTACAGCGGACTTGACTCCCATGACTCGAACTTCAATTATACTCCATATAATTATATGATCTTTGCATTGATTCTCTAGGGAAAACAACAACAACAACAATAATAATAATAATAATAATAATAATCTAATATATGTAAAAATAAAGTAGGCATTTTTCGGAAGTATTTGACGCGCCACATAATAAAAGGTATTATTTCGTCCAATGGTAAATTAGATTTGTATTTTAATTTTGAATAAAAAAATTGTATTGCCACGTAGGTAAAAGTAGCGAATAAGATATGGTATTTAAAATTTTGATGGCACGTGGATGAAAAAATTAATGTCACGTATATTAAAAACCACAAATTTTATTTATCATTATCTTTATTTATCTCCACTTTAATTTCAACCGAATCAAAATTATCTTATAAATGATTTTTTTTTTACCATTAAAGTATAATAAGTATGATAATTCCACTTTAATACTTATCACTTCCGGTCAAATAAAAATTTAAGGGAAAATTATCTAGCTTGTGACATTATATCACAAATACTAAATAATACCTCTGAAAAAAATTATATTTATATGATAAAGTATCATTATAAGATAAATTTTGATAGTGTTTATGATAAGAAATTAAAATTGTTCATTAATCATAATTAAATTAAATTTTGTTATACCTACTGTTATAAATTGACACATTATACGACACCAACAAAATTTCATATTTATACAAAATTCATATCTAGAAAATTTTGTATTAGTAATTTTGTGTCAGTTTTAGGTCATCAATGGTAGGGTACTTTTTAGCTTAATTTCATATGTTTATGTTTTGTTTGATGAATTTCGTTTTACATGTAGATCAGAGATTTAAATTCGAGCAAAAATGATTAAAAATTCAAAGTACGAGTTTTTCACCTGTTTGATGTACTAGATTTCCGCAAACAAAATAGCTTAATAAGTCTGGATATGGTAATATTGGACGAAGAGGTATTTTTAAAAACAAATATTGTGATTTGGATTGCATAATCAACTTATTAAATTAATTTAATTTCTTATCTTTAATTTCAGGATGATTACACAAGTTCATGCCTCAATTTAAAGCCAATTGTGTTGAACATTTTCGTCCAAACTTGAATGAAGACTATGAAATGTTTACTCTATTAGAAACTTTTCAGTCGTTTCAAATAATAAGCAATATCGCGTTGTGATATAGACAACAAAATAATGATTCAATAATTAATGATGAAAAAATTCCAATGCATAGATTTGATTTTATACATTTACAATTTTTAGATCTATTCCGCAACAATTATATCGATATTTATTATTAGGTTTTAATAATTTTCTTACATATATTTATGTGTATCTAATAATTTTTTTTTTTACATTTTGCTTATGTGTATTTTTTAAAGTTCTTATTAAAATATTTATTAGGAAAAACGAGTTTATGTAAAGCTTTGGAATAATATTTTTGTTGAGCATACGAAACAAAAAAATCAACATAAGTTTGTTTTTTTTAAAAAATTATTCTTATTCATTAGTCAAGTATGCAAAACTTGAATTTGTTAAATTGAAATAAACTATGAAAATATTATCTCATTCGTCGGGTGGTTAAATAAAATCATTTAGATCGATCAAAAGATTTTTTTTTAATAATTAATTTTTTTTGATTATTTTTTTAAAATATTCTACTTCTAATATAAAAGATAATAAGAAATTGCAAAATAATATACAAAATGAAATACCAAAAAACCGTGCATCGCACGGGCTTACATATAATAATAATAATAATAATAATAATAACAATAATAATAATAATAATAATAATAATAATTACAGCATATGATACACCTAACGTATAAAGTTAGTTAATTCAGTTACATACACCTAACACCTAGAGTCTAATATTATTATGGCATCAAACCAAAAGATGGGAAAATGCATTGTCCCAAATTAAACCTTTAATTAAAATGATCGTCGTTTTCTAGAAGAACGCATCATCAGCCTCTTCAATTCGTTCCTTAATTGAGCCTTGTGTGGTAGACCCCCACCGACACCGCATGTGTTCATTTGCCTCGTGTCAATTTTCAGTTGCATGCCCTACTTAATTATGTTCCTTAATTTATTGATCTCTAGTCAGGGGCGGACCCACCTTTAGTCATAGTGGGTCCGGTGACACAGTATTTTTTTTAAAAAATAAAATATCAAAGAGACCACTTATAATAGATAGGGGGTCTCTTTGATGCTGCTAGTGGTAACAACAAACAATATCAAAGAGACCGCTTATTAAGATAGGAGATCTCTTTGATGCTGCTATTGCTACAAAAGACTTGGTGTGTTTTTTTTATATATTAAAGAGACCTGTTATTTATATAAGAGTTCTCTTTGATGCTGCTAGTGCATTTCACAATTTTTTTGCGTTACTTTCGTTTTCATTAAAGAGACCAGTTATATTTAATAACTGGTCTTTTAAGTTATCTCACTTTTTTTTGTATAATTTTTTAATAATTTTTTTTCCCTTTTTATATCTTATATTTGTACAACCAATTTTAATATTTCCCCATAAAGCTTATCAATTAACTAAAAAATCATAAAGTTAATTCAATATAATAATTTTATTGTACCATTGGTTTATAACATGTTATTTGTAGTATTTTCGACTTGTAAAATTGAATTCTTAAGTATTGTATTTGGTTGTGATATGAATTTTTGTGTCCTATTTTTGGATTGAAATCAATTTGGTATATGTATATATACGTATATATGTATGTATATATACATATATATATATTTTATATATATAAGTTTTGGATTGAAAATAATTATGAATAAGACATGGAAAAAAAATTGTACTTTCACAAATGATCAATAATTGATGGTGACACACTATCTCGGAAATCCTGGATCCGCCACTGTCTCTAGTATTCCATTTTCTAATAACGTTTTACATCGTACCAACTCCTTTATGAGTAAATAAATTGATGGGATTTCATTAAGGAACATTTCAAAGTTTCTAAACTAGTTAAATTCGCCCTACAAACTTCTTCCCATCCGTTTCTTGATATATACTTGCATTATTTAAACTTTACAGCGCCTCTTCTGTGCAGCTGGCCACACGGTGTGGCCAGCGTCCAGCTCAGCAAAATAACGAAGCTACACGCGCGCGTCATTTTTTGCCAAAAATAACGGAATCCAAAATAACATGCTGCTCCTTTTTCATTCCTTATTAAAAGCGCCGACATTCACACAAATCCCTAGAAACGCAGCTTTCACTTCTCGATTTCACAAAATTCTCGTAATTTGCAAAAAAAAAAAAAAACTACAATGACCGAAGAATTACAAAACTTTCCAGAATCACAAGAATCAATGGAAATCGAACAAATAGGTGATTCATTGTTGAATCTGGAGATCGAAGAGGGCGAAAAAATACAACAAAATGATGAAATACAAGGTAAAAAAAAAAAACTTACTCAAATTTTAATTTATTACTTTTAATCCCTAAAATGATATACTGGTAATCCTTTTAAAGTAGAGAGGTAACCCCTATAATGCAATAGGTAACCATATTATAGTATGAAAGTAAACTTTATAATGCAACAAGTAACTCAAATCACACAATAAATAACCTGCTATATAATAAGTAACTCTATCACAGTAGAAAAGTAATCACTATTACGCAATAAGTAAACTCTGTTAAAAAATTAGTAATCCCTATTGCGTAATAAGTAATCCCTATTGCGCAATAAGTAATCCCTATTACACTTTAAGGGTAACCCCTATAATGAAATAAGTAAACCCTGTTAAACATTTAGTAATCCCTATTGCGCAATAAGTAATTCCTATTACACAATAAGTAACCCGGTTTCACTTCAAGGGTAACCCCTATAATGCAATAAGTAACCCTATTACAGTGTAAAACCCCTATAAAACAATAAGTAACCCCTATCACACAATAAGTAACCCTTTTAAAGTAGAGAGGTATTACAATGTGAAGGAAACCCCTATAATGCAATAGGTAAACCCTATAATGCAATAAGTAACCCCATTACAGTATGAAAGTAAACCCTATAATGCAACAAGTAACTCATATCACACAATAAGTAACCCTTCTAAATTAGAAATTTAATCACTATAATGCAAAAAATAATCCCTGCTATATAATAAGTAACCCTATCACAGTGGAAAAGTAATCACTATAATGCAATAAGTAAACCCTGTTAAACAATTAGTAATCCCTATTGCGCAATAAGTAATTCCTATTGCACAATAAGTAACCCTGTTACACTTTAAGGGTAACCCCTATAATGCAATAAGTAACCCTATTACAGTGTGAAGCCCCTAAAAAACAATAAGTAACTCATATCACAAAATAAGTAACCCTTCTAAATTAGAAAAGTAATCACTATAATGCAAAAAAATAATCCCTGTTATATAATAAGTAACCCTATCACAGTGGAAAAGTAAAGCACTATAATGCAATAAGTAAACCCAGTTAAACAATTAGTCATTCCTATTGCTCAATAAATAATCCCTATTGCGCAATAAGTAACCCTTGTAAAGTAGAAAGGTAATCACTATAATGTAAAAAATAATCCCTGTTATATAATAAGTAACTACTATAATGCAATAAGTAATTCTATTACAGTATGAAAGTAACCATGGCTAAAAAACTAAGTAACCATATTACACTAAAAAAACTGAAATAATGCTAGACAACTCTTAATAAACTCTGAAATAATCTGAGTCACTAATTCAGAATGAATTAATTTTTTTTACAGATTTAAGTGGAAGCACCTTAACAGATGATGCCAGATATACAGAACAACATGATATAGATTATACAGGGAGCCTTGTTGGATTTACTGCCGCAACTTTAGAAGAAATTTTTGAAGAATATAAAAAACATGCTTTTGTGATTGGATTTGGTGTAAGACAATCAACAACAAGATACACACAAACAGAACCTAAAAAAGTAAGAGGAAAAGATTTTGTTTGTTCAAAAGAAGGTTTCAGAGTAAAACCAAAGAACCAAAAAACTCCTACTCCTATTCCTGGACAAAAACAGAAGAAGAAAAGGCAAGTTCCAATCACCAGAACTGGTTGCAAAGCATTCATCAGAGCAAAAAAGAATAAAGAAGGTATGTTTGAAGTAGAAGAACATGTCATGCAACACAATCATGAACTGACAAGAAGAGAATGGCAGCATTTACAAAGATCAGAGAGAAAAATAACAGAAGATAAGGCAAAAGTTATAGACATAATGGCTGAAAGTGGACTAAGACCAGCAGAATCTTATTGTTTAATGGCTTATGAAGCTGGTGGTGAAAATGTATTAGCACACACAATGAAAGACCATTTCAATTACATAACAAGAAAGAAAATAATGGAGATTGAAGGAGGTGATGCACAAACTGGCATAGACATATTAAATCAAAGACAATAAGAGGAACCAGATTTCTTTTTCAGATTCAAGATAGGAGAAAAAACAAACAGACTTACTGCCATTTTCTGGAGGGACTCAGAAATGAAAGAAGATTTTGATATTTATGTAGATGTTACTATTTTCGACACCACATATAGGACGAACAAATATATCTTATTTGTGCGCCAATTGTGGGTGTCAACAGTCATTGGCAAAATGTAATGTTTGGTTGTGCATTTATTGTTGATGAGAAAATAGAAACATTTGAGTGGGTATTATCTACTTTTAAGAAATCAGTTGGTGGAAGTGAGCCAGCCTCAATTTTTACCGACCAAGACTTGGCCATGTCAGTTGCAATTCAAAAGGTAAATTTACATTTTTCCTGTTTTTTATATAAAGTAACCCTTTTCATATTATTCAGTAATTTCTATTAGACATTAAGTAATTGCTATTATAATACTATTAATTAAAACCTATTATACTATTAAGTAATTAGTTATATACCATTAAGTAATCCATATAATACTATTAAGTAAACCCCCTCAAAATATTAATTAGTTATTAATATATATGTTTTGCAATTAAGTAACTACATTAAAATACAAAAGTAACCCCTATTATACAACATAAGTAACACATATGTCAGAATATATAAGTAACACCATAGTATTCAGTATAAAATCTTATTAAATTTAATAAATAACCTTATAGAGCAATAAGTAACTCTTATTACAATGAAAAAGTAATCAGTATAATGCAATAAGTAACCTTTATAGTTCAATAAGTAATCATTTATAGGGCAATAAGTAATCCTTATTATGCAATAAGTACCCTATTAAACTGTTAAGGTAACTTTATAATGGAATGAGTAACACTATTAAAAACAATAAGTAACACTCGAAAAAACAGACTTTGCATATGGCATATAAATTCAAAAAAAAAAAAAAAAAAAAAACTAACAAAATATTCAATGCAGGTTTTCCCACACTCAAGACATAGACTTTGCATATGGCATCTAATTAAGAATGCAGTGTCAAGATTTGGAGCACTAAAAAGAGACACAACTTTTAAAGATGCTTTTAATAAGTGTCTAACAGGTTGTGTAACAGAAGAAGAGTTTGAGCATTGTTGGACAAACATGATAACAACTTACAAGCTAGAAAATAACAGATGGTTCAAAAGATTATACAGCTTGAAAGAAAAATGGTGCGCTGCTCTCAGTAAAGACTTTTTTTCAGTAGGAATACTTTCTTCTCAAAGAAGTGAAAGTGCAAATAATGTTGTAGGTTTCAAGGCAAACAAGATCACAAGCTTGACTGATTTTTTCAAGATATTTAAACAAACAGTGACTAGGTGGAGGAACAATGAATCTGATGCAGATTTCAAATGTTCCAATTCTAAACCAACTTCAAATTTACCGTTCTATGGAATGATAAAGCATGCAACAGAGGTCTACACACATACCATATTCAGATATTTTGAAACAGAATTCGAATTTTCAATTGGATGCGTAACAAATCTTCATTATCAAACTCAAAGTTACTTCTTTTATGAAGTGAAATTAGAGAATAATGAAGCTTCAAAGCAAAAAGTTACATACAACATGGCAGACAACAATATAGCATATTCATGCAAAAATTTTGAAGAAGTTGGGTGGTTATGCTATCACTGTATCCGGGTGTTACAACATCATTCATTCACCAAAATACCAGACAGATATATCATAATGAGGTGGACAAAATATGCAAAGGCACATGTATGGATAAGAAGGGATGAAGAATCAGCAAATGAAAGAATTCCAATAAAATACATTCCGTGGAGACAAATTATGGCAAGAAAAGGCTACAATCTGATTTTGAAATGCCAACAACACCCAGAGACCAAAAATTTAATAGAGTCGGAGTTTAAAAAACTTTATATACTAGCAGATGAAATAAGAAACAGATTGGAAAAGGTAAGCCAATACTATTAATTAAACATACCAATGCATCAAAAATAACTTTAATCATTGTTTTATTGCAGGAAGAAGAAGATGCAGCAAGTCAAGAATCAGAATCAATGCAGCAAAACAACACTACTGCAACAACAGAAACAGAAGAACAAATTCCTACTGTTATGGATCCAGAAAGAGAAAACACCAAGGGAAGAAGCAAGAGAATAAAAGGACATTTTGAGAAAGGAAAGCAAGGAAACAAGAAAAAAACAAAAGCAATGACAACAAAGGGAGATACAAGAGAATTTGGAATAATCACTCCAATACAAAATCCAAAGTTATTTTAAGTTCTTTATGATAGGATATTTATGTTTCTATATTTAAATTTCAGACCTTATTATAAACTATGTTTCTATATTTAAATATCATACCTTATTTTATTATGATATAATATTAAGTAACCCATATTATTAAGTATACACTCAAATGCTTTTAAGAACCATATGATAAAGTAATGCTTCTAATGCTAAAAAGTAACCTCATTATAATATTAAGTAATTGCTATATTAACATAAATTAACCTTTAAACTCTTTAAGTAATTCCTGTAAGTAAACCCTTTAAACTTTATAAGTAAATCCTATAACTCTTAACACATAAATAATAGGATAAGTAACAAATAGGCTTACATGAATAATCACTATAATATGAATAAGTAATCCATAAAGTAACTGGTATTAAGTAATCCATTTAATATATTTAAGTAATCCTTTAACAACAATTAAGTAACTGATATTTTTATATTAAGTAACACATATAAAACTTCATAAGTAACACCTATAACACTTATAAGTAATGTTTATAATACTTAACAAGTAACAACCTATAACCCTTAAATCAATTAAAAATAGAACAAGTAACCAATATGATTACATGAGTAAACCCTATAATATTTTTAAGTAATGCTATGAATATACCACTATTATTTTTAATAGTATGACTTAAAAATAAGAATATGACTCAAAAATAAAAAAAGAAAATAATCTACTATATATATCAATGTAGTTAAAACTTTAATATAAGCCTTAATAATAATTAACCTTAATAATAATTAACACTTAAAACACTTATAAGTAACACCTATAACACTAATAAGTAATCTGTATTAAACTTAAGAGTAACACCTACATCATTTATTAAGTAACCCCTCTCAAACTAATAAGTAACAACTTTAAAGTTTATAAGTATCCCCTTTAAACTAAATAAGTAATCCCTTAAACTTAACAAAAAAAATCCCTTTAAACTTTGTAAGTAAACCCTTAAACTCTAATTAATAAATAACCACTTTAAAGTTTATAAGTATCCCCTTTAAACTTTACAAGTAATCCATATAACTTTATAAGTAATCCCTTTAAACTTTATAAGTAAACCCTTAAATTCTAACTAATAAGTAACCACTTTAAAGTTTAAAAGTATCCTTTATAAACTTTACAAGCAATCTCTTAAACTTTATAAGTAATTCCTTTAAATTTTATAAGTAAACAATAAACTCTTATAAGTAACCCCTATAACCCTTAATACATTAAAAATAGAACAAGTAACAAATAGGCTTACATAAATACATAATCAACCAATATAATATAAATAAGTAATCATTGTAATGCTAAATCAGTAACACCTATTATTTATTAACAATATGACTCAAAAATTATAAAAAGAAAATAATCTACTATATATAAAAAAAAAACAAAAACTTTGTTCAAATAACCATATAGAATCTTTGTTCTTAAATAAAAAAAAAAACATAAACTATGTTCAATCTAGCAATATTGACATAATGTAAAACTAATTCTTACTTTCTGCTAGTGGTAGCTTTTTTAGAAGCTTGGTACTTGTTTTCCTTCTTTTGTTCACCCTCTTTAAATGCCTCTTCTTCTGCCTTCAATTCTGCACTTTTCTTAGCTTCTTTTTCTGCAATAGAAGCTTGTTCTAGACGATCAATCTCATCATTAATCATAACTTCTTCATATAATTCCTCGTTATTATCAGCAAATTTCTGATCCTTATTAAGAATCTCATCCCTTATTTGGTTCAAGTTGCACAAAACCAGTGAAGCACATATTTCAGCACGATATCGACGTCGTTCAAGTGCCTAAAGATACAAAACAAATCAAAGTCATAAATTAGTTATAAATAAAAAAAATATAAGTAAACAAAAAATTAGGATCATAAAAAATCACCTTTGTTAAGTTTTTACAATAAAAAATCTTGACCTTCATATGATAAACAATGATACAAACAAAAAACCCCACAATCTGTATTCTTTGGATAAGCTTGAGAATCAAGTTGTAGCATTCGAATTTCAAATTCAGCAACTTGCTGACCTTGATCATGGTTCTTCCTAACCAGGTATTTTGACATTAGAAGTCTATGTGAATTATTGAAAAAAAAATATCAGAACAAAATAAAAGTACACATTAAATTTAACTAAATACTAAATAAAAATACATACCAAGTGCCAAGTGAATGTATAATAATATGTATGATGAGCATCAAAAGTCTTAGTGCAATTCCTTCCAACACCAATATAATACCTTCTGTTGTCCAAATAATCAACAGTGTTGGTATAAAAATTTATCACAACAACAGAATAGTGATTGCCATAGTAAATTGGAATGAAAATCTGTATAAATATACATATATATATATATATATATATATATATATATATATATACAAAATCAATTTCCATAACTATTAAAAATTGCATTGAAAATCTACATAAAATAAATTTATCAAGCCAATGATAATTACCAGCAAAGCATCTAGAAACTCCATTGTTTGAACACATTGAAGCCAATGATCCCAAGCCCCAAAAACTTCTAATTCATCAGCACTTCCTTCTCCAGTATATATAAAACGCAATAAAGGATACTACCAAAATAAAACAATTAAAATAAGAAAAAAAAATATTAAATAACATAAAATAAACACAGATCATAAGTCAATTACCAAAAATTCTCCACCAAAATAAACCTTGATACCATCATCATTTCTTTGCACCTCCAAGTAATTCAGCAAAATAAAAAA